TGTGTGTGTGTGTGTGTGTGTGTGTGTGTGTGTGTGTGTGTGTGTGAGAGAGAGAGAGAGAGAGAGAGAGAGAGAGAGAGAGAGAGAGAGAGAGAGAGAATACCATGCTGCGGAGAAGAAAGGCGGCATGCTCTTTGTTTTTCTCCCGTTCTTTCCGGATGATGTCCCTCTCCTCTTGCTTCAACTGCTCACTCAACATGATCATTTGTTCTTGGATTCTCTTCTTCTCTTCCTTCTTGGCCTGCAGCATGTTCTCTCTTTTGGCAAGCTGATGTACGTATCAATAACAAAGCCAATAAATTTAGGTTCGTCAGGAGCCACGTGTCGTCAATACGTGTGAAAAAGTTTTTACTTTTTAATAGATTTTATTAGTTTTCTAAACTTTTTTGAATACTTTCTTCACCTTAATAATTTAATTTCGAAATTCGAACCCTGATTGTCTTCCACATGTCACTGAGTGTGTCATTCAAGCCAAGAAGGGTTTTCCGGAGCCAGGACGCAAAAACAAAACCCCTTTGCATTCAGGAAGGGTACTTTTGAAATTTACTACTTCGAATTTTGAAATTTAGAAATTGAAACTCTGATTGCGGTCTCGTCATGTCAGGGTTGTTGGGGACTTGGATGAATCGTCACATTTCGTTATTTCGAACGATTAGTCCTCCTGATTGCAATCTCTCTCTTTTTTTTTTTTTTTTTTTTTTTTGGGCAGTCTCATCATGACAGTTTGATGAATCATTCCATTCGGGGGAGTGGCGGCAACAATGACAGGGGTTTTATAAACTTTTATTACTTTCTAACCCTTTTTTTTTTAACCCGAGTTACCTTTGGACCTTTTTCTGGCAATTCACATCTTCACCTTTTTCACTATACTTTTGAAAGGAAGGCTTTCTTGAGTAGCTGTCGCTATGAGTTGATGGTCTCCATTTTGACATGTGCTAATGGAAGGGACGTAAGGTTCCTTAAGGTTGTGTTTTTTTAACTTTTTTTTTTTTTTTTCATTACACACCGTGTCACACCCTCCAATGTTTTCACCATTCTAAGCACATTGCACACAGATCTTTCATCACTTTTTTTTTCCTCTTTTTTTCGTTCTCTTTGTTTCTTTAAATAGCAGCTCCTTTATATATTTACAGGCTGTCATCCATCAGCTGTGTATTTACTATACGAGGATG